GAAGTAGGATTATTACGTTTATGGGCAATTTCGGGCAAGAGTAATAATTTTAAAATAGTTTGTATTCATTTAGTGATTTAATCCATCATAATGCTGCATGTTGCGTGCTAGAAGATAACTTGCATCACCTGATGTCGAAAGTGATGTTATAATAACAGGCGCTCTTGAAAATGGCGGACCACAAAAAAAGTATTCTGGAACTCAGGATAAAACCAAGTGTATAATTATGACCTCTGTTGAAACGGTGGATTAAATATTTATAAGAGGTTTTGTTTTTCGAATGTGTGTTCCATCTCTCGGTTAAGATTCCATTCGCTATTGTTGAGTTCTTTGGTCTTCGATTCAGCGAAACCGATACAGGTGGTTGAAAGGTATGCATTTTTGCTCTCGAAATGTGTATGGGTTAATTTTTGAATACATTAATCAGAGATCTTAAATTGAAAGCTGATAGGAGTGGAAGCACGGACTCAAGATAAAGTATTAGTGATTGTTCAAAGTTTCAAAGTTATGACAATATTAGGAGGCTTACAATTCGGTCTTTGTTATATGTGCACGCTCGGTTGGTGTTTGGCGGCTTATATTTTATTTTTAATAAAATGAAATTTTACCGTTTAACCTTGTTTGTTCCATCTCGCCGAACACAAAAGTAACAGTTATTTACAGTACAACGTCGTCAAATTTTCCGACAATACTGAAGCCAGAGTTTATACAAGTGTCACGTTTTTCCGTCTCAACAAATTTCTATCATTCCGGTTGCTTGAAACGAACGCTTCTAGTAATCACCTGGACGAAACTACAGTAGCGTCCGGTTATAATGAACTCAAAAAATGTAACAAAACTAGTTCATTATATCCGAAGTTCACTATTAACGGAAAAATAAAAACTGCGTTTGTTTAAATTCAATTTACTTCAATTCTACGTTGGGAACAATTCAAAAAATATTTCTTGGTTTATAAACTAAAAATAAAAAAAAACATAGCTATTTATGTAATTACATATAACAAGACGTCACATAAACACAAGTCTACTTGACAAAATCAGTTATTTTTGTCTGTACATATCTATTAGAAAAGTGAATGTCACTAATATAGCGTTCGAGGTTGCAAAAGCTGTTCCATATAGGCTCCGGAACAGTGCGCGATTCTAAAAAGTTGCGAGTCTCTGCCATTTTTTGCGCCATTTCATTAAGAGAAGGAACATAAACATCAACATCTTCATCAGACTCATTTTCCTCACCCTCGGCCTCGTCACTTGTTGCCATGACTGATGTCACTGATTCTATAATCTGCTCGTCAGTTAGTCTTTCTGTTACCGTTATGTCGTTATCAATTTCCACATATTCTTCAAAATTAAATTCCCCGATTTTCTCTTGCACTGCAATTTCAATTGCATTATCCACATCTGTGAAAATAAGTCCAGGATCATCTTCATGTTTTTTTAACCATTCTGTTAGGGGAAGCTCATCGTCTGCATCAAATTCAGCACTTTTTTCAGAAAATCCTCCATGCTTGAAACAGTTTGCTATTGTATCTTTGCTAACCTTTTGCCAAGCCATGTGAATAAAATTTACAGCATCTAAAATGCTAACTGAAAATGTTTTTCCGTTGTCCATAGCCTCTATCATCTGCGCGAGTAAAATTTTCCTATAATGGCTCTTTAATGAATGAATTACACCTTGATCCATCGGTTGTAATTTTGAACTCGTATTCGGTGGCATAAAAACTAATTTAATTTGGTTTAGTTTAATCTCAGGGTGAGCTGTACAGTTATCAACTAAAAGTACAATTTTCCTATTTTTTTGTTTTAATTGTTCATGCCATTCAAGCAGTTCATTTGTGAAAATTTCAGAGGTCATCCACGCGTTACGGTTTGATTTGTATTTTACGGGCAATTGTTTATTTTTGAAACATCTAGGATTGGCAGATTTGCCTATAACCAACAATTTCCTTTTTTCTGTTCCAGACATATTGGCAGCTACTAAAACTGTAATCCTCAATTTAGATAACTTTCCTCCAGCACAACTTTCTCCCACAAATTTTAAAGTCTTATCAGGAGTCATTTGATAAAAGAGCCCTGTCTCATCAGCGTTAAAAATGTCTTCACTGTCATAGTTTTTCCGAATATGAGGCCAAACATTAGTTAACCAGTCATTAACAACATTCAAATCTACTGCTGCAGACTCACCCACAATTTTTCCTGTTCGGATATTATGTCTTCTTTTAAAACGTTCAATCCAACTTTTAGAACACTTGAAGTCTTTGTTTTCGATTTTACTACCCATTTCATTAGCTTTTTCTTGTAGAATAATACCACTTACAGGAACGTTTTCTTGTCTTTTTTGTGTAAACCACTTAAGAAGCCCTTGATCCATTTCATGGTGCTTTGATTTTCTCATTTTTTTACACGTAGAATTTCCCTGACCATACGCTGATAAAATGGCTTCTCTTTGCTTCCATATCATAGAAACAGTGGATTTTATCAAGTTCATTTCCTGGCTAACATCGCGTTGTTTAACACCACTTTGTATTTTTTGTATAATATCATACTTGTCCTTTAAGGTTAGAGCTTTACGTTTTTGTTTTTCCATTTCGAACAATGTTATTACACAAGTAAGTACTTATGTAGCGCTACTTCGACACAGTGACCAAGAATCGACTGGCACAGAAAGCAAGTTGGTGGGGAAATGCGTAGCGCGTAAATCAGGGAATCCCCGAAAAGTTCATTATAAACGGAAAACTGCACTTTATTTTGAATAATATTTAGTTCATTTTATCCGAAAGTTCATTACAAGCGGATTCAGTGGTTCATTATAACCGAAAAAAAATACATTAGATATATGGAAAAAATTTCGTTACTTGAAATACAGTACACTATAGCCGGAAGTTCATTACAAGCGGGTTCATTATAACCGGACAATACTGTATAATTACTACCAGATCAATGCCAACGCATGAGTTAGAAGTATATTTACGTAAATTATGCTACTGGCTTAATGGTTCCCGTATTTATGTTTATTTTAGAAAAATCAACAGGTGTTTTCCTGGTGGGTTAGATAATCAAATCGTGGAAGTTCAAAGATCATGTAATGAAAAATCTATAGTTGGAGGAAAAGTTTTGTTTTGTAACTTTTCCCCAACAGTGATTCATGTTGTTGAAACAATAAAGATTTTATGTTATGAAGTTGGCGCGTTTAAACACGATTTTAGTTTGATTAGACAAGGAAAGTCGATTTTGACTCATGTATTGCGGGTGTTGTGGTTGTAACGTTTGTAGCTGTGTGTTTTTACCTTGTTGTTTTGAACATTAATCAAATTTTAAGTGTTCGTCAAATCACTTTGCACAAATAGTACTTACTTGACGAAGGGTTTTGCTGAAAAAAATTCAGCAATAAGTAAAATGTTGCAATTAAAAATAAACATAATGACTAATTTGATATAAAAATTATCTAATCAACCCAAGATCATCGATGAGTAGAAAAGAGATGAACAATTTTAATCGTTTTGCAAATTTGAAAACTGTTTTAAAGTGTGTGATGAGTTCGGCACTTGAGCCAGTTGGCGACAAATTATCAGTTTATTTTGACTTATAAGATTAAAGGAGGATGTGTACTATGTAATCTGAAACATTTTTATTTAATCGACAAACTAGAAAAGCAAACATTCATTTTTGACTGTCGTTTGCATGCTCATTTTGAAATCAGTAGTGCCAACTGTAATGTGTTTTTTGCGGCTTTGGGGTTATAACGTAACTCCTCGCTGCCATAATTTTCTTAATTACGTGGAACCTCCTTCGTAAAACCGGAAATTTAATTCAGCATTCATTGCATTGAAAACTAGGTTCAAAGAACGGCCGTTTTCAAAAGAACAAAGACTTCTAAACTTCTAAAAATGCGGACGCTCATCATCGCAAGTTCAAGCGAAAAATATCAAAGAAGTACGACAGTACTACGAATAGCAAATCTATCTAACATGTTCTAGATTTGCTTTCTTTTTCTTATTTGGGGTCAGTGGCCGTAACACATTTCTATTACGCCAAGCTAATTCATTTCCTAATAAGTACAATAACAAAAACCAAAAACGGCTTTGTTGCAGTTTATATACCGTTAAATTTGAATTAATCACAGCCACTGCAATTACAGTATCAACGTTAGTCTAATCGAAAACGGAATTTCGTTGTGAGTTGATAAAAATCCGTGTTAATGTTATCGTCGTTTTGATGTCCTTTGTTGCTTGTTAATTGCACAAGAACAGCTTTGATGTAAAGACGAGTTCAGAGATTATCTCTAGAACTTTCATAACTTACAGTGTGACACTGTAGCAGCTTGCTTTTAATTAAGTGAGAAATTAGACATTAATATTAAAATTACCACAATACAAACGCACACACAATCCTCGGAAGCAGAAACGTGTTTCCTTTATGAATAATGAAGAAGTTGAAGATCACAGGAGAATAATCGAAGAGAGAATAGAGGAAACGCTATTCCGCACACATTCAGGCTTATTTGCAAATTAATGATTTATTAGCGATGTTTCTTATCATAATGGCAATAATAATGGCTGTAAGTGTTGTTTTAATGACTTCGTTCATAAATCTTGCAGACAATTAGTGGAGACACTCAAGAAATTAAGATTGAAACGTTCAAAGCGACTTTGTTGCAGAAAAATTGATAAGTTGTTAAATGATTAAAAGCTCCAGGTTTCGAGTTGGCTGTGCTTTATTTTAACGGTCGATCGTATTATTATTAGCTATTGAATAAATAGTTCTTGTACGTTCGTTATGACTTATTGTAAAAGCTGAAAATGTTCTCTGTGCACTGGTAATTTTAGTTAAACAGTAATCAAAGTTGATAACTTTCCAAGACACGTCATACTAATATTTTTACATACATTAGCGTACATTGTAAAGCAGCTTAAATACTGTAGTTGATATGAGGTACGATAATTAAAATTAGAGTACTGTTTAGTAACACCGGAAAATTTACGTGTTGTTGTTTTTTTCAGATATCCGGTTACAGCTTAACGAACAGTTAAGATGTCTAGATATGCGTATGGAAGCTCAAGTGGCCATCGTAACCGAACTGCAAGATTTTTTTCGTCGAAGAGGGGAACTAGAACTTGATTACTCAAAGAATTTAGACAAATTGGCCAAAAGTCTACAGCTCAGGCACAAAGAACAAAAACAAAAGTAAGTGGTTTAGTAATGTAATTCGTTAAAAAGGAAAAGTTACTTTCGAATCATTGTCAAGATTGACAATTCAACGGTGATTCTAATCATACTTTTGTATATCGCGCCGTTTATGTTGTGTGCAATCTTTAAAAATGAAGCGAGATTGCTTGAATGCAATCTATAAATTATTGTTTGTATAGCGAAATGAAGCGACCTCAACTGGAAAAAGATTTATTACACTTTTCCAGTACATAAAAAGTATTATGCATAAAGCTGAGCAAATTCTCGTGCTATATTTCTGTCTGCTTTTTTTTAATAACATTCCTACATTTCTTTCTTTGTTTAATATAAGTAAAAGCATTTGCTCATCGCATACATATCGTATCATATACCTATATCGCTCTACCGCTTTCCGTTTTTACAGCGGTACCGGGAACTATCTTGGAATTGCATACAACCTTGATTGTTGTAAATCATCAAAACAAAAAAAGTTGTAATTTACATTGTCAATAAGCATTATAGCATAAACGGCGCCGCATATTAACAACTCTGTTGTGTTAATTAATTTGTTCGCTTGTAGAAGAGAACAATGGCCTTTATTTTCGAGTTATACGTGTTGGCAACAACTGGTAACACAAACTAAAAATTTAAGCAGGGATCATGTAGCTTTATCTGAGGTCTATTCAACGCATTTAGTGTCCAGGTTATCCCAGGTCATGGAGGATGTCCAGAGAATATACAAAAGGGTAAGCCCATTGTGACGTGTTATTACAAGATTTTTTTGTTGACAAAACGTTTCGCTTTTTTGTTTGTGTGTTTGTTCTGCAACAGATCAACATAAGACGCTGGAAGAAATTCATATTGAGAACATCTCGGCTTTTTTTTTAATATTTAGAATGTCAACAAAGTAACGCGTTTCCTCTTTATAAGAATTTCTTAAAAGAAGTGACAGTGTAATATGGAAGAATTATGTTTTTCCAAGACTAAAAATCTCGCAGAGGGTTTTTCGTATTTAGAGCCGTAAATCCGTTACGCGATGACTTATTTCTTTTGTTTTATCTTATCGTACGAGAAAAGTTTGCATTTTTACAACACTGGGTCGCCCAATGTATTAGACAATTTTAGTGTTGTGTATGTTATAAATGCAAATATTTATGTAAACTTTACATAGTTAATAGGGTCGATGTTTCCGCTACTGCTATCGTAGTGATATCGAATTAGCGCGCATTAATGCTTTTAACCTTGTTTGTCGTTCCTAAAATGGTACACTGAACGTTTAAAAAATAGTTTTCCTCAAATATTGTTATTAAGTCTATATATACACACACATTCTCGCTCAATAGTGTCTTGTCACTTTTTTTAACATGACGATATAAGCGGTTAGTTTGATAAGTGGTTACAAAAAGTGAAAAGTTAATATCCGGGTGACGTCGCAGTGGTCGTTATGAATTTGCTGACGTTTCGAAAGCCATAAAAATTCGTATTTTACTAAGAATTGTTTTGATAGTTTGGCAGATAATCATTTCTGGTTAAAGCGAATCCTAATACTTCAGTACATTCGACCTTGATATTTTTTTCATTGAACCACAGTTACACTGCTCATTGTTAAACAATTACACTAGGTAATGGATAGCTAACTGCTACTGTACAATGTGTAAAGAAGGACGGGTAGATTTTAGTGATTTTTTTTATTATGATGACAAATAAAATCAGACTATAACTCTCTTCTATTGTCAGACTTTAGTCTGACTAGTCTTGTTACAGAAAAAAAACTGCAGAAGTATCTTTAAGGTTAAAGATAAAGTTAAAGTGTCTATATTTTATTTAAATTTTAAAGTATCGTCATTCGTGAACACAATGAAAATGTTCTTGTTGTTTGTTAAGACAGTAATAACAGTTCGAGTCGTGTCAAATTATTGCCTTCGTAATTATTTTTTGTGTATTGTGCATAATATTTTTACATTTTCAAGCAAAATAAACTTTGACTAATAAATAAAAACGCATGGCTGCGACGTGAATGTGTTATCAGATTTAGCAGGATTTTCAAACATGACGGATGACAGCTGCATTTTCCTCTCTCTATTTTAATTCAATATAAAAACTTAATCTCACATCCGCAGGACGGAACAAGTGTTTTAGTTACTGATATATGTAACGAGATTTTGTTGTTGATCTCTGTGACAAAAAATTTCGCAATGTTTGCAAAGCTGTATAATTTGGAATGGGCGCAGGTCTGAACTTTCGGGATCTTCATAAAAGATTTTATTTATTTATTTTTAATGTACATACATTAATAAATAAGCCAGGGTTAAGAATGTTTAGGAGTGAGATCATTTCTTACTAACTGCGAATGAAACACGTGGTAAACCTTGTGTTTTATTAATGAAATAATTGTGTTATTATTTTGTGTGAGAACCAGGTCTCGTGTGTTGAACTGTTGCATGTCCGTCGTATCTGAAAGTTTATGAATTTTCTAATAATATTTCAGTGTCGTGAAATCGGATACGAAACACACGAGGAGATACTTCGTGTGTTGCACGAGCTACACACAACAATGAAAACATATCACAGTTATCAAGCGGAGCTCCGTCAAGCGGAAGCAAAACTGAAATCGGCTGAAACCCAAAGATCTAAATTAGAACAGTCTTTATCTCAAGACAAATTAGACAGGTCCAAGAAATACAAGTTAATGGAAAAGGAAGTGATGAAGGTAGTCCATTCCATCACGTTTGGTGTTTATTTTGACTTTTTTTCTCGTAGCGCAAACACAAATACACGGACGCAAAACTGAAAGCTCTCAAAGCAAGAAACGAATATATTTTATGTTTAGAAGCTTCCAACACCACCATCCACAAATATTTCGTAGACGATTTATCCGATCTCATTGATGTGAGTATAGTTTGCTTGTGTTGTCTTAAAATATCATACCTCGGATAAACACCCAAATTCTTCAGTGTATGGATTTCGGGTTCCACAACTGCATATCCCGCGCACTTCTCATGCACGTCTCGGCGGAAGAAGGTAGACAGAGGTCCGTTCAGAACGGTTTGGACACTCTATCCGCCTGCATAAACTCCCTAGACTCTAGATTAGACAAACAGCGGTTTCTCGAATACAACCATGCGGCGTTCATGATACCGAAAAAATTTGAATTCCAAGGGCAAAAACAGGAAGAGGTGGGTTCGACGCGAAATTGCTGATGTTATCTTTAAATTGGAAATTTTATTTTATTTAAGTCGGCGGAACCAGAGATCCAGAAAGTACTACATCAAGAGATGGAGAGTCGGCTGTGCCAGTTGCAACAAAGGGTAACTTCGCTGCGGGCCGAGTCCGAGGAGGTCTGGAAGACGCTCGAAACGGCCGAATCCACGCTACTGGAAATGCTGAACGCGAAGGACTACGATTGTAGTGGATACTTCGGAGAAAATCCAGTTCCTGCGGGAAAACCACCGGAGACGGTTTCCATTAAACTGAGGGCCGATCGACAAGAAACTGAAGAATTTTATCTAACGGTGAGTAGGTGTTTTAAAATTTCGATTATTAACAATACTAAAATCGCTCTCTCTCTCTGTGTGTGGAAAATTACCGGCGAAAGAGAGTCGAATGGGCGCAAATTCACGATTTTTTTTCGATGACTCACAATACAGTTTGAATGTTCGTATAAAAATTACAAATAATTAAACACGTGGTCTTTATCGCAACATAACTAACCAACTTCGTAATTAATCGTTAATTGTAACGCACTTGTAATTCATAATGTATGAGTGTATATAACAAAGTTAAATCGAAATTTTTTTATTACGTTAGGGCGGAAAAAATCCTGAAGCGTTCGATGATGTGGATGGCTCTAATTAAGTTTCTATTGAAATTCGTTGACTTGATTACGTGCAGATTTTGTATTCCACGTTGCGTGCTGCTAATTTAATTTTTGTTTTATGTACGGATTGGGGTAATGACACTGCATTGTTGATAATTGCGCTAGTTAGCAAGTCGAGTACGCTCTAAATTAATTACGTATAAATTTTTAATTGCAGGCTGAACAAACAAGGTTTAATATTAACCTTTCGTCGGGCTTGAATTCGCGATCAAAGTTTTGTTGACATTTAGTGCGATAAAAATTATTCATATTTTTAACGATTCGCACTTTGTAAATATTGACACTTGACGTGAGATAGGACGTGAGAAGTGTAGTCAAAATGTAACGATTGTTACGTCGTTTCGAAGTATTGCAGAAATTTTCGTTTCGTTGATAACTCGCAAACTTCGTCATGGATTTAATTATTTGTTGTTAATTACGCCGAAGGAAGTTTTTTTTTTGTTGGTTTTAGATCAAAGCGTATCACAAACACTCGGGTTCAATGACCATAAGGCAAATTGTGAATATTCTTTTATTTTCATTAAAAGATACAAAGTTGTTTTTTTTTAATAACTTGCTGAAAATGTATAAAAGTAATTAAATTTTTAATTGCTCATATGATTACATGTCACAAATACAGTAGATGAAAGCGTCTCTTTATAAACAAAAATGTCTCTTTTAATTAACACTTGACATGAGACTGGGACGAGCTTTGATTAAAAAACCATCACTTACATGCATGGCTTCAGGATATAGAAGTTTCACGAAAATGTTAAAATGATATATTTTTTATATTAAAATATGGTATTATAAAAAAAATTTTTGTCCGATCTTCGCTTGCTGTAATAACAGTATAAAAAAACTTTCGACAACACGATCACAGTATTTGACCCTAAAAAAAAAATATATCGACAAAACTTCGTATGAAATTTGTGTCGCATCTAACGATACTTATAAATTTTTCCATATGAAAGAATCCTGTGGAATTTCAACAAGTTTAAAATTGGCTGAAAGTATAATGTTTTACAAATTCTTCTAATATTGTAGAAATTCCGCGAGTATTTACTGGGGTCGACCAGGATAGCCCGTTTAGATGCCAAACAAGAATACATACGACAATCTTTACTCTCTGAAGCACCTGACTACTGCAGCACTCTTAAACCGGTTGTAAAAACTCCTCGACGAAAACGAATAGGACGATTACAAATGAGTGGCCAGCCGAAATTGTTTGGTGGTTCTTTGGAAGAATATTTGGAGGCCACAAATCAAGACATTCCTCTAATTATGAAGTCTTGCATTAGAGTTATTAATTTATATGGTAAAATCAGCGTTGTAACGTATTTATATTTTTATGACACCGTGCACTTGCAGGTTTGCACCATCAAGGTATTTTTAGAGTATCGGGATCTCAAGTAGAAATAAACAATTTCCGAGAGTGGTTTGAACGCGGTGAGGATCCTTTGGCTGATATGACAGACGCGTCTGACATTAATAGCGTCGCTGGAGTTTTAAAATTGTATTTAAGAGAATTGAGAGAACCATTGTTTCCTATTATTTATTTTGAGCAGTTTATGGAACTTGCACGTAAGTACCAAGGTATGATGGAAAGTGATCTAGTCACAATGCTAGACAGTTGAACTAGATCAGAGTCGCTTTTCCTAACCTAACTTTGACAAAGTTGCGACGTACGTTACACAACTTGTCTGTCATACTGACTAGGTCACCTTTTTTGTCCTAATTACAAATGCATGAATAACGATTTGTTTTTTTAGAATTAGAACCTAAGAGAGAGTTCATTGTTAAAATGAGGGAATTAATCAGTAGTTTACCCCGACCTGTGATAGTTGTGATGAGGTATCTCTTTGCCTTCCTTAACCAGTAAGTTTAAGTTGACTAAGTGTGGTGATGACATTCTGACATATTTTTATAGCTTGTCAGAATTTTCTGACGAAAATATGATGGATCCTTACAACTTAGCTATTTGTTTTGGACCTACTCTGGTACCAGTTCCTGATGACAAGGACCAAGTTCAGTATCAGAACCAAGTGAATGAACTGATTAAGAATATAATAATGTTCAACGATGAAATATTTCCGAACGATGGTGGAATTGTGTATGAGAAATATATATCTCCAGAACCAGACGACCAGTAAGTTTTTTCACAAAGTGTCAAGTTTGTTTTAATAATTTATTTTAGTGACGTCGGTGACTCACCATCTGATCAAGTACAAGAAGATCTAGATTCAGAAGTGTACCCGTCTGAAGACGGTATGCGAAATTTCTTATTTCATACTAATGCAAAAATTACGCATTGATTTTTAGATTCGGAAAACATGGAAGCGACAGCACAATTCGATTTCATAGCTAGATCTGACAGAGAATTATCTTTAAAAAAAGGCGACACGGTTACTTTGTACTCGCAAGTGTCGAACGACTGGTGGAGAGGCTCAGTAAAAGGACAAGAAGGACTCATTCCAGATAAATATATATCTTTGAAAATGAAGTAAGCTATATTCAATAAAAATAACTAAATTAAAATTTGGTTTTATTAAAAAACAAGATTCTTGCAGTTGGGTAAACCCACCTAATGTTTCGTCAAAAAGATATACAAAAAAAAATGTTATGTTATTTTATTGTTGCAGGGATGATGATCGCGAGAAGCTGGAGAACCTAAAGTCCAGTTCGTCAGAAGAATCGATGAGGAGGAGAGTTTCCAGCTCGAATGACTCCATGTTGTCCGAAAGTTCCGTCTCTGCAAGTAATTCGCCTCTAGTGCAGTGTGCCCCCGTCACATGGACAAATGTGACCGATATGAACGAGTCTTTGTCGTCTGAAAACAATCCAGTAATATTAAACCAAACGAGAGAGGTATTGGAAACTACTGTCTAGTGTGCACGTGTTTCGCTAATTGCCATGTTGCAATTTTTTATGATTTAATATAATTTTTTGCCTAATGCTATGCATTGCGTAAGTATTCTTAACATACAGTATTAGGATCTATATCTAATACTTTAAATTCATGTACACAGTGATCTCATTATGTTACGAGTAAGTTATCTAACTTTGTGATTACACATTTTGTAAAATTAGTACTATTGCTTTTGTGCATGTAAGTGTTTTAGTTTTTTTTTGTGTCGTGTCTTCAGTGTTGAACGCATGCGCATGTATTTTGTACAAAACAGAGGATAAATTTTTATTTAAATTATTAAACTTGTGATTTGATTGACGTCTATATTTGTACCTATTTGTATATATTTAAAAATAGGGTGCAGGTAATCTCTTTTTTGAAGTAATTGTATACACATTTTGTATGCATGAATTTTGTCATGTAGACTTATAAAAAGAATAAATGATTTTTTTGAAATTCTTGTTTTGAGTGTCGTACAAAATCAAAATTTTGCTAGGCTTCTAACAGTGTGTTTTATTTAAAATCCCAGTAACGACAAATCACGTGTACATGAATTTACTTGTATTTATCGTAGATGTACTGGGTTGAATAGAACACAGTGTTTTAGAAAAAAAAAGTAGTATTGTCACTTTATTATTTTATTTATTTTTTGTTGATTTCATAGTACATTTGCTAGACTACAATCCGAGACTGCGAATTTAAAGGTGAGCACTTTCGCATGTTTGGTGTTTATTTTTACTTGTTCATGCATGCGCACAATAACACTTCTAATAGCATTAGAGGGTTAAGATGGTAAAATTCTTTAATGCTCGATCTTAAAACGTCCTCGTAGGCTGCACTTTCATTATATGTAACGTTGTTTTTTAGATTAAGCACTAGTCAGATCACAACAGTTAAAACACGTCAGTTTGACGTATTTCGAACAACGTCTCACTACATACATTAGTCTCACGTTAAAACAATGACACTTCAGGTTTAGGGAATTTGGTGTTTGATATCAGAAGTGTCTAACTAGTGCTTGTAAATGTGAACCTTGACCCACGTGGGTTACTTTTAAATATGCAAAAATAATGTAACGCGAAAGTTAAGAAACTGAAAATTTGTTGAAAAATAAATTCATCCATCACCACGTATTCTTTCTTTTGCTAAAGTAACCCGCTTTTACGAAACCTAATAGATGTTTCAAGTAGGTCAACAGTGGTAATTAAGAGCGTCGGTCATTTGTACATGAAAAACTTGGCATTTGTTACGACTTGTTTTATTTATAAGCTATTCTGGGCAAGACAAGTCATGCATTTATCGATAATTACAACTACGAATAGAATGAAAATTTGTAATACTATAATTATGATCTAATATTTTTGGAATATTATACAAGGCTGCACAAAAAAAAGAAATGTTGGTAATTTGTTAATCGTTGCAAAAACCGGTAATATTTCAGTGCAAGTTGCCAAAAATGTTTCACGTTGTTTTCCAATCGTAAATACATTTAATGATCATAATTTCTAAGTTGAATGTTATACAGAAACATGTTTGTATACTGACTTTTATGATGTCAGTTTTTAATTGAAATGCTGTCTTAAACAAAGTTAAATATCTACTATTGTACATAATTCATTATAAGTAATAACGTTAAGATAATCTTATTAGTGTTGTTAAAATGTCATATTAGATAATCTATTTTGCTTAATTACCACGTGACTTGCAGCCTTCCACCATTTAAGAGATTTGCTGTCCCATAGATCATTCAGTGTTTAATGTTCAGGTTAAACTAATTATCTTCATCTTTCTTCAAAATTATATCTTTTGTGTATACCGGATGTGTTGACATCCATTTACATGATATTTTTGTTTCAGAATGGCCATAGTCGTTTCAAATCTTTGGATGTCCCTTTAGAGTCGCATTTACTTAATAAAACCCGCGATCCAGCTTTACTTCCACAATGTACAACGATAAATGTAACTCCGAGTCCAAGTACTACAGTTAACGGATCTCCTTTATTGTTAACTAGAAAGCTAGAACCTAAAAATGAGCCAATTGAAGATGACGAAAAAGCAGATTCCGAGAGCGCAGAAGATCGTAAGCCGGTAGAACCTGAGATTGACGAATCCAACGTGAATTTTAGTCAAAATCGGGAGGAGTGGCAAAGACGGGCAAACCAACAGTCACATATCCAGGTGTCGCAGTCGCAAACGCTAAAAGCCAATAGATTGTCCGAATCGTACTTGCAAAGGCAAAACCATACACCCGATCTGGTGATGGATCTGCCTCTAGTCGGTAACTCGAGTCCAAAGGATTGCGCGAAGAAGTCCATATCAGTATCTAGTAGCCAGGAAGGGTTAGTCGAGGACGATGCTTCAGTGAAACCCGTAGAGAGTCCTCAAGGGCCAGAGAGTCCAGATATGCAAACCGCTGCGGAAAGATTTGCCAAACAGAATCAATGTACGCTCAAAAAGAACACCAAAGTTCATGTTGAAAGTAGCGAACTTAGCACAGATTTTAACTTAATAGCTATAACTAGTCCAATGCCCGAGCGCAAGTATGCTACGATCGGAGGTGCGACCACTACTACTTTTAAGCCACAGCTCAAAGCGAAACCCCCAGTGCTCAAAAAACCCGCGTTTTCTGTACCATTGTCGGTTTCTAGCGACGTGTTGCGGAAAGACCAACCAGATCTTCCCACATAATTGTACCCTATTCGTTTGTTCAAGACAATAAACTAAAGGTATACTCTTGAAAACTCGTTATTTTTTAACGTTTCTGTTGTTATGAGTGACTGATATTTGTGTTGTACCACTACGCGTACATTACCCATACTATGCTTTAATTTCGTGCAATTTGCTTTTCAAGTCTGTTGTAAAACGATGGCATTGTGGTGCTTATGACGTGTAGTACCTACATTTGACATTTGTTGACACATTTTTATGTTTGAGGAGCTTGCATGGCTATTTCTTTTACACTCTGTGTTGTGCTGATTTGATATTGTTAACTGTAATTTTATATTTTAGTCACTTTAAGTAAAAACATAGTAATGGACGATTTTTTTAATGAGACTGATACAATATGTTTAGATTTAACCTAGAAAAATAATCAAAAAGTACTTAGACAGGGTGTGTGTAAGAGATTGTTTTTATATATATTTTTTGTTAGACTGATTCAACCATATAATATTCATGTGATGTAGCATACGTACATATTTATACAATGTCAAATTGTATTGGACTTGTGAATTTATTAACTATCACACCAATTTATGAATTGTATTCATCGGTGCCTATCTAGATATAAAGTCATTTGTTTATGGTCTTATCATTTACATCGAATCTATTTTACATGTTCTATCTTTAGTACTGAATATTGTGTATTCTATTTTAAGTCCTTGCCTTATACTAGCAAAGAGTGAAAATTAGTATAAGTTAATGCCATTCATAAATCCATCAGATTATTTTTAACATATAATACTCTGCAAACACGTTATTCATAGAAACCCGTTTGCTGAGTGCTGTGGTTCTTAATATTACTAAATGTATAAAATATATAATAACCTTCAAATATACGATATGCACAACACTGCAGTTTACTTCCACACAACGCCAGACGCCGGTAATTTAAACTTCAGTCTACAAACAAGAAGAAAATGTTCAAAACGGATTCGTCATATCGAGGGACGATGCTCAGCATACTACACTTCTTTACTGGTTTAAAGGAGGCCAACTACAGATGAGGATTCGCAACATTTCTGCAACAAAAGATTTTTCAGAAATTATTGATTAACAAAAACTTTGTCTAGTTAAATTATGTTTAGGATGTCGTAAGCATATTTTGTGCTTTGTAGAAAATTTAACTGTCTGTATAGGTGGTATATGTATATATAATACATCAAAACAAATGTAGCGAGACAGCTTTGTCTATGCTAACACTATTACAATACAAATATCAACTTCCGTCTTCGTAGAAAGACGGGGTTTTCATCTAACCTTAATTTCGGTGCTGGTTACCTGATTCCCAATTAAATCCGTTCCTTTATTTTTGTTATTTTACAGAGGTTAACCCTTGTGATTGTTTCTCGCCACTGTACTTTTGGTATACTATACAGTATATATGCATTTGTTTGTGTGTAAATATATAAAACACTATTAAATTATTTTTCTTAACAGCCTGGCAAATTAATTTTGCCGCGTAAAACTTTGAAATTACTTAAATTTCTAAGCGGCATGCGATATCTGGTGCAGTTTGACGCCCTTTACCACGGAGATTAAATAGGTAATTCTCTTATTATTTGTTAATATAAAACAACATTCTGTGAAGAACACTAGAGTGTATATACCTTTGAAGTGCCAATTTTTTCTTTGTGTCTTTTACATCACAATAGACATACTATTTAAATCTATAGTAGATGTCTTATAATTACTGTTATTAGTAAATCTTGTCAGACGAAATTTATGGCAACGCAGCATAAAAGGTAGCATAAATTATATAGGGTGCATTTCGCGATTGGTTAATTTCGTTTTCTCGATGCTTCATGATTTTTAAAATATGAAAAAGTAGATCGTCTGTCGTCCATTGTAATTAATATACTTAAGCAATGGCAATATTCAACAAACTACTGGACTGATTATTGTGAAATTTTAAGGGCATACGATATCTATATGGCGCCACGTTAGTCAAAATTTGTGTGATCATTCCCAACAAAAATTTGATTACATCTCAAAATATTGTAAAGTAAAGTGTGATACTAACTCTAAATAAATGTTTATAGAACAACAATCATTTAAAATTTATTAATTCATGCCCTTTAGAAAGTTTTAATATTCTTGTCGTTTAAAACTGTTTATAAAAGATATTAAAAAAAAGAATAAATCAGTTAGTTGTGTCGATTGTAATGGTGTATCCAATTTCATACAGTCATATTCTCGTTCGACGTACTACATCAGTTTGGCTTTCTGAGAGTTACGGATCAATATTTTTAAATTATGTTAGTACGTGAAACAATATTTGGGTGATTTGGACATACGTCTGTAAAATACCAATTACAGATTCCTACTGGAAAGCTTGTATATCCCAAGTGCACCAATAGATGTCTCTCCACGATGATCTTATTTTTTATCTGCTTGGTCTGGAGTGGGGAGACGACACTCTCCTTTCCCCCCACAACTCACAAAAACCATGCTGTCTGGCGCCTCCGCCAACATTGTGGAAGTCATTTCAGCCTGAAATATTCAAGAGACCGATTTACTTGATTTCTGTAAAAAAAAAACGAAAAAACCGGGTTCTGTTGTAACTTGTAAGAGACAACTCAGCTGTATTTTATTTAACCATACATATACACCCTGCGGGCAAAAGTTACGCATTAATTGCACCAAATGACCGACCAAGTTTTAAGTTTCAATTTTATTTGGCTAACACGATGACAGTCTCCATAATTCTAGTGTGTCGAAAATGAAAAGGAATACTGTAAATGATTAAAGAGCGACGAGGCGATTTTAATTTGTAAGCGTGCACAATTGTTCGAACGGTAATCAAGATCGCACGTTTGCATATGCATAAGTGCTGGTTCACACAGTTCTTAAACTTATTGAAGCCGCTCTTTAGTAATGAATAATGATATTTACAATATTTCATTTTTTACTTCTCGAGGGCGTGCTAGTACATGAAAATGTCGATCTGTTGTTAAAAAAAAGTGTCAGACCTCTGTTAAATAAAATGTATTAAAATCAGATAGAAGCCGTATTGACCGATCTTGCTAGCACTTTGACAATACTTTAAGTTTCTACAATTGTTTACAGATGATCTTCAAAAAATAAATGCAGAAATCTATATTTTTCTAAGAAACAATAAACAAATTTTTGTAAAATTTGGGCATCACGGTGGCGTTGTGAAGATCATGTGGTACATCAAAATTAATATATATGTATTTATACTTATCAAAAGTAAAAAAAAACTTAAACTTGGTTGTATTTCAGAGGCAAGGGAAGTTCGGGATAAATATCTTTACATATTTATTTATACTTTTTTATTTGTTTATCTATATAGCCATGTTGGCAGACGAAAATTTAACAGTTTTGTACTAAAAAACGTCACCATTTTACTCTAATTTACAAGATTTGTTGTCATCATGATTACAATTATGAAACTATATAGATTTCTCCACGCCGGTTGACATTCTGTCACTAGAATGTACTAAGTTGGGTGATCTGGGTTCACTTTGTGATGTACATTTAAATCGTTAGTGTCAACACTGCGCATGCGTCGTTACTTTGGTTTGATTGGTCACGTTGGGCCTTCCTTCGGGGTGCTTCCTTGTTTCGCAATAAATCAAACGTGTTCCGCAGATCTTGAACTGCAGTTGGTCTTGAAAAAAGGAAAATTCAAAAAGCCAAGTTTTATTTATGGTAGATACGAATTTATGAATCCGAAATAAATATTATTCGTGGTTAACCCCTGTTGAGGTATTGCTTTATACAAAGTAATGCAAGTTGTTGCTGTCGCAGAAATTTGCGGTTGCTATCGCAACTGATGGAAGAGTTGCAGTACATTTTTATTATTTTTTTGTATATGAGACGAAAATGACAGTGGGTAGTAGGATTTTCGTAAAAGCAGATCCTGCGGCTTATTTTGCATTCGAGCGTATAAGCTTACCCAATTCTCCTAAAATTCTGAGGATTGTATTGTTGATGTTAGTATTACACCATATCGCAGTGTATAATAACATTAATAACTAAGGTGATGCAGCGAAGCGCTCAAAGTTGGTTGTGGAAACTAGCCAGTTTGAGACAAAGACGGAAACACTGGGCCATCCGCCCACGTGAAATTATTAAATTAGTTACACCTAATTAACCTTTTTGTACAACAGGAACGTTTATCCTATGAAAAATATTATTTTTTTGATGAAAATTTTCTTTCACCGACAGTTGCGTACAGTTGATAAACGAATTTGTTCCTTTAATTTAAATAAAATTCTGTTACGAACAAAAAGGTGCGTGGTCGTAGAAGCTTTAATAAATGTAAAGAAAAACAAGGCGAATACATAATAAATTCAAACGACAGTTAATTAAACTTTGCAATAATTCATTCCTATTATTTATTTTTATTGTCATAGTCAACCCTTCAGGGTCGCCCTTTTCTAATATCTAACACTTCCTCTCGACTGGGGGTTGTGCCAGCCCTTGCCGTTCCGTGAGGGAACTATGCTTCATGCTTGCGAGACCCTTGGTGAAGTTGACGACGTTATCACAAAATTTTATTGTGAAAAACTCACTTGAAACATACCAATATCTATCTTTACTTTAACTAACATTATTACAATTGAGATGGCGGTGGGAAGGCGGAACTTGAATTTCGCCTTTTTTCTGGATATACGTAACAATCTTTTCACGATAGTACATATATTTAAAACGTTTAAAATGATAAATTTTTGTCGGGAAACATCGATTTTAGAATTAAGCTCCGCCCCTCGGTCTGACAACGAATGGAAAATTCATCACGATTGAGAACTGAGATCGGGGTGGGGCTTATCCTTAGATCATATAATAAATAGATACCACCATGCCGTGTTCTTTCCCTAGGACAGCCTGTGACGACATCCTCCTGTCACACATCTCTCTTGTGCATGGAGGGATTACAATGAAGCTATCCTTGCCTGATCACTATTTGAATTTTGCGCGCCTAAATTTTAGGAAGTATGTCTGAACTAACTTCGGAAGAAAGATGTTGACAGCTTGATTTTATAAATAATTCACA